TTCATATGGAAATGCTGGGTCACAGGACCCAAAATAGCAAAACAATCTTGAAAAAGAAGAACAAAGTTAGAGGACACATTTCATGATTTCATAACTTAGAAAAGTACAATAATTAAGACAGCATGGTACTGGCATAAGGATAAGTGTATAGATTAATGTAATATAATTGAGAGTCCAGAAATAAACTCTTACATTTAGAGTCAACTGATTTGACATGGGTGCCAGGACAATTCAATGAGAAAAGAATAGTCTTTTCAACAAATGGTGCTGGGGCAACTGTATATCCACATGAAGTTGGACTCCTACCTTACCCATATACACAAATTAATTCAAAGGGATCAAAGACTTAACTGCAGGGCAAAAACTATAAAACTTGAAAACATAGGCATAAATCTTCATGACCTTGGATTTGGCAGTTTGTCTCAGATATGACACCAAAAGCAGAAGAAACAAAAGAAAAAAGTAGATAAACTGGATTTCATCAAAATGTAAAACTTTTCTTATTCAAAGGGCACCATCAAGAAAGTGAAGGCAACCACTGAATGGAAGAAAATATTTGCAAATCACATATCTGATAACAGACTTGTACCTAGAATATACAAAGAACTCTTACAACTCAACAATAAAAAGACCAGAGGCCAAGTGTGGTGGCTCACACCTGTAATCCCAGTGCTTCAGGAGGCCAAGGTGGGAGGATCACTTGAGACCAGAAGTTCAAGACCAGCCTGGGAAATATAGTGACAGCCTCATCTCTGCCAAAATATTTTTAAAATTAGCCAGGTATGGTGGCACACACCTGTAGTCCTGGTTACCTGGGAGGGTGAGGTGGGAAAATCACTTGAGCCCAGGAGTTTGGGGCTGCAGTGAGCAATGATGGCACCACTGTACTCCAGCCTGTGTGGCACCAGGGTGAGACCCTGTCTCTCTCTCAAAAAAAAAAAAGACAAGTAATCCAACTTTTAAAGAGGGTTAAAAGGACCTGAATAGACGTTTCTCCAAAACAAGATATACAAATAGACAAAGAGTGAATAAACATACAAAAAATGCCCAATGTCATTAGTCATCAGGGAAGTGCAAATAAAATCACACAATGAGATACCATTTCATTCCCATTAGGATGGCTATAATCAAGAAGATGGATAACCAACAAGTATTGACAAGAAACCAGAAGCCCTCTTACACTGCTGTTGGTCATGTAAAATGATACAGCTGCTTTAGAAAATGGTCTGGCAGTTCCTCAAAAGGTTAAACAGGTAATAACCATATGACCTAGAAATTCCACGCTTAGTTCCAGCCATGCTGGAATGCTCACATTTTCCAAATGTACACACCCAAGAGAAATGAAAACATTAAGTCCACACAAAAATTTGTATACAGACATCAGTAGCAACATTATTCATAATAGCTAAAAGGTAAAACTTCAATGTCCATCAATTGATTAATGAATAAATGTAATGTGGTATATCCACACAATGAAATATTATTCAGCCATAGAAAGAAGTACTGCTACATGCTACAACATGGATGAACCTTGAAAACATTATGCTAGTTAAGAGACATCAGTCACAAAAGATCAGATATTATATGATTCCATTTATATGAAAGGTCCAGAACAGGCAAATCTATAGAGACATAAAGTAGATCAGTGGTTGCCTAGGGCTGGAGGTGGGGTGGGGGATTTGTGGAGTAATAGCTAAAAAGTATGGGATTTCTTTGGGGGCTGAAGAAATATTCTAAAATTGATTGTGGTGATGGTTGCACAACTCTGAATATACTGAAACCCAATAAATTGTAAACTTTAAGTGGGTGAATTGTGTGATATGTAAATTAGATCTCAAGAAAGCTGTTATCAAAAAAAAAAAAAAAAAAAGACTTCCCTCCCCTATGTTCTATGAAACCCGTCTTTTTTTTTTTCCTTTTTTGGCAGGGTCTCACTCTGTTGCCCAGGATGCAGTGCAGTTACAAAATCACACCTCACTGTAGCCTTGACCTCCAGACCTCAAAGGATCCTCCCACCTCAGGCTACAGGTACACACCACCATGCCCAGCTAATTGAAAAAAAAAAAAAAAACAACTCTTTTTTGTAGAGATAGGGGGTCTTGTTATATTGCCCAAGCTGATCTTGAACTCCCAGGCTCAAGCAATCCTCCTGCCTCAGCCTCTCAAAGTGCTGGGATTACAGGCATGAGCTGTCGCACCTGGTGTATGAAACCCTTCTTAAGTCCCAATAACACTGACCATTGCATACGTGTCACCACTGTTCCCTGTGCAGACTTGAGTAACTGTGACCAACACCCTTGCATTTATCTGCTGACATGTCTGTTTTGCATTTATCTGTTGACATGTCTGCTTTCCTTTACTAAACTGTAGCCTCCTCAAAGCATGGAGTGCACTCAGTTTTTCCTGGAATACATAGTGTCTGTCCACTGTGTGCATACTACGTGATACGGTACATCATAAATATTTGTTAAAAGACGATCTTAAAGGCTTTCATGTGGAAAGGGAACTGTGTTTGTTTCACGCACATCAATGGGCAAAAATGGAAGACATAATGACATGTATTTTTAAGAATTTTCAAATACTCAGGGTTATCCCTTTCTTCAAAGCAGGGATTTCTGGGTTCTGTGAATTCTCTGATGATACTGAAATTCTGAGTACATTTATAGAGTACGTACATTTTTCTAGAGAGAAAATACAGTTTTAGGCTGAGTGCAGTGGCTCACGCCTGTAACTCCAACACTTTGGAAGGCCGAGGCAGAAGGATCACTTGAGCCCATGAGTTCAACACCAGCCTGGGCAAAACAATGAGACTCTCATCTCCACACAAAAACAAAAACAAACAAACAAACAAAAATTTTTAAATTAGCCAGGCATAATGGCATGTGCCTGTAGTCTCAGTTACTTGGGAAGCTGAGGTGGGAGGATCAGTTGAGCCCTGGAAGGAGAGGCTGGTGTGAGCTGTGATCATGACTCTGCACTCTAGCCTGGGTGACAGGGTGAGACCCAGGGAAACGGAAAAGAAAGGGAAAGGGGGCCAGGAAGAGAGGAAGGGAGGGAGGGAGGGAGGAAGGAGAGAGAAAGAAAGAAAATACATAGCTTTTATAAGATTGTCAAAGAGGTATGTAACCCCAAAATGGTTAAGATTCACTGCTGCGAGTTTCAGTTACTGGAATATATCATTCCAGGTAAGTTTTTTCCTAGGTTATACTACTTCAGTAGCTTCTCTTTCTCAAAAACAGAATTTACAATATTAGTAGCTTAATAATCTTAAGGTATTTATTGACTGCCCATTATATGCCAGGTACTGAAGAAATAGTGATAAACAAGATAAAGTCCCTACCCTTGCAAACTTACATTCTAGAAGGTGGAGACAAAAAAACAAGTAAACACTTAAGAATATTCTATATCATATAGTGATGCCTATCCGGAAGAATATAAAACATGATAAAATAGGGAATGATGAGAGGAAAGAGTTATTTTAGTTAGTGTTATCAGGGGAAGTCTCTCTAAGGAGGTTTCATTTGAGTAGAAATTTGAATGATGAGAAGGGCACTGAGGGAAGAGCACAGCACTTCAGGAATAAAGAGAACTGAAAGTACAAAGATCCTAAGATGAGAACACTGAATACCAACACTTGTTGGTTGTTCTCAAGGGAACAATCCCATGTCTAATCTCCACTCTATATTTTCTACAACGTTCAGAAGAGTGTCTCCCACTCACAGTCAATAGTACTTGTTCAAGATAATTCACCATAATGGAAAGACAAGTAAAAAAAAAAAAACCAAAAAACTGTTTTCGAAGAATCTTCACTGTTCAGGATCATCATGAATTTACTCTTCTTCAAGGTAGACAACATCATTAGACAAAGTAGGTAAAAATCTTTGGGATTACTGCAGTGAGACAGAAAGAAAAAAAAAAAGAACAAATATGCAAATATGTTTTAGAAGTCTCTTCCAGGTGGATAGTCTTACAAGCACAAAGATTATCAGGCAAATTCTATAAACAGAATTATGTGTTCAATCTGCCCTCCACCCCTGAAGCTTGGTGCTTTGCATTTATAGCGTGTATGATGCTCAAGAGAATGGAACTACAGCCAATGTGTATTAAGCAGAGAAGTGGATTACAGTTCAAAAGGAGCTGTCCAGCAATCAACAGTTTAAACGTTACTGGAAGAGTTCAGACACCATAAAATCATGTCTCAAAGATGTTACAAGGATAATTTACAGGAGAAAGTTACCAGTAGAACTTCATGACCTGTAGAGAATTGTTCTGGTTCCTTCTCCCAGCCATCAGCACCATGCCTTTACACTCATTCTGTAAAAGGCCCCAGTGCAGCTAAGAGGATGAATTTTTAAACGCCACATACATCATGCCAACAACGAACAATTAACAGATAAATACTGCTTCAATAAGGGGAACGTAATAATTCGTTCATAACCACACCTCAGCAACTGAAACTAGGGTTATTAAAATCTTCAAGATACATTTTTAAAGGCACAAGAAGACCCTGAAGCAGTGAGAGCCCAGCACCAAGTTGAAAAAAACATAACGAATTAAGGTTTGCTGTACCAATAGCATTTGCCTTGATTTCGTACGAAGCGGCGCGTCAGAAAGTACACGGAAAACCTAAAGAGGGAAACCCAACTGGGAACCCTTGGCTCAAAGCACGTGTACAAATGGTGACAAGATGAGTTAAATCAGTGGGGTAAGAGAGAAGTGGCTGCGCGTAAACGGGAGTATGCAAGGCCACCTAGAGGATGCCCAGGCATGCACGCATACATTCCTGGCCCTTTCAGCAGCAGAACCATCTGGGCCGCCCCCCGCTGATAACAATGGAACCGTGGGGACTGGCCCTTCAACGCCGTCTCGTCCGCCCTCTCCTGTCAGTTTGGTGGATATTTCGGTGAAGTCTGCAGACTCTGAGAGTCACCCCTCCCTCGAGCAGCGTTCTCCGTACTCTTCGGCGCCAGGAAGCTTAGAGAGAGCTGGCCTGCTCTTACCTTCAGGTGTCGGCGGCGGCTCCTGCCGCTTCCCGCGGGACAGGAAGGCCTTGGGCAGCAGCAGCGACAGAGCCAGGACAAGCCCAGAAGCCAGAGCAACTCTCTGCACTGTGGAGTACGCCATGACTGCTCACGGCAGTCGCAGGTGCAAACGCCAACCGGAACCGGAACCGGAACCAGAACCGCAGCGCAGGCAGCCGCTCCCGATCAAACCGCGGGCGGCGCGGACGGCGTCGCGCGAGGGACAAGGTGTGCGAGGCGCCTGCACCTTCATCTCCAGCGTCGAGCTGACCTGCTCCTCAGGCGTGGTTACCCGTCGCTGTAAAGGGTACCCTCGCCTTCCTATTAATACTAACTAAAAACTCCTCCCTTACTCCCCATGTTCATCTGTTACTGAGTCCTGTGCATTCTACCTCCAACACATCGTGCCCGGATCTCTATCCCCACTTACCACCACTGCCCCCAACCCACCCGTAAACCACAGCTTCGAGTTTCTCCTCATCTCCATGAATTCACTGTCTTCCAGCTTCCACTCATACCCCTCTCTTTCATTATCCAGCTGCAGCCACAGGTGATAATGCTAAAACAGAAGACTATTTCTCTGTCTCTCCAGCTTACAACCTTTTAACTCTCCATTATCTTCAGAACAATAGTCAAAGTCCTTTCTATAACCTCAACGCCCTGCATGATCTGGTCTTACCAATGCTCCTTCCAAACTGGATGATTTACTATTTCTTTAGCATATTTCTTGTCTTCAGGTAAGCTTTGCTCGTCCTGTTCCCATTGCCTGGAAAATTCCTGACACCATCTCCACTTGTCAAAAACTTCTCTGAAGAACAGCTTAAAAATACTGCTCTCTCGAAACTTTTTCAGTCAGCCTCTCCTTCCTCTATAATCCCACCGTCCTTTGTTACTGTCTTCATTTGTTCGTTTAGCATTATTTTAGTTTATACTATGTATTAGACCCTCAACTTGGCACTACAGGTCTGATAAATAAAACGGATTCCCTTTGTAGGGCAGATAATGATATAAACAAAAAAGTGCAGGAAATATTCTGGACCCCCGAGCAGTCTGCTCAACTGGTACGAGGAAAAGTCAAGAAAAGCTCCTTTGAGAAGGTGAAATTGAGTTCGTTGTTGAAAAATGAGTAACTTACTAGGCAGACAGGTGGGAGGGGTTAGAAAGGTAGTCCAGGAAAAGGAGGCCAAAAAAATAAAGGCAAAGCTGGAAGCTTCCTGGTGTGTTCAGAAAGCTATTGGTAATTCATTTTGGCAGGGCAATAGAGTAGTGACAGGACACGAAGTGCACAAATATAAGCAGGAGCTACATTGTGAAAAGCTTAGGTAGAACTTCCAGGTAAACATGGCAGATGTAACATATGCATTTATCTTTGTTTTCCCGAGACAGTGCCCCAAAATGAAAATAAATAAAGTGTATAAACTACAAGACTAAATACAGTGATAGAAAACATGACAGCAGATGAGAAATGCCAATTTTGTAAGACACACGCAACACTGTCCAATAGAAACATAATGCCAGCCACATATGTAATTTAAAATTTTCCAGTAGCCACATTAAAAAAATAAAAAGAAGTAAAATTTATTTTAATAGTATTTTAAACCAAGATATCAAAAATATTTCAAATTTTATCAGCACGATAGTGTGGGTCGTTGGCGCCCACATTAGACAGCACAGGTGAAGAGCATAAAAAGTTAAATGGCTGTGGAGGGAAAGCCTGTAAGGAGTAAACTAATTTGCCACTCAAAACCCGTGCTCTTAAGAATTGGAGGTACTGGGTTCCTTTAAAGCCGAGGGTGCGGAGTGGGTCTGAATGAAGAATTGGCTGGAAATCTGATTAAAAAGCAGTTGAGACTGGGCACGGTGGCTCACACCTATAATCCCAGGACTTTGGGAGGCCAAGGCTGGAGGATGGCTTGAGACCAAGAGTTCAAGGCCAGCCTGGGCAACATAGTGAGAGCCCTAATCTCTACCCAAAAAAATGTGAAAAATTAACCAGGCATGGTGATGTGCACCTGTAGTCCCAACTACTCAGGAAGCTGAGGTGGGAAGATTACTTGAGCCCAAGAATTTGAAGCTACAGTGAGCTATGATTGTGTGAACCACAATTAGTTATGATATATAAGATGATAATAATGCCTGAATGAAGCCAGTAGGGGCACCCACTCCAGCCAGGATGACAGAGTGAGACCCTGTCTCTAAAAAAAAAAAAAAAAAAAATTGTTTAATTTTTTTAAAGCAATGGATATCTTCTGAATCTCTTTCCTTGATTCATGCAGCCTAATGGGTGCCCCTGCTGGCTTCACTCAGGCATTATTATCATTGATGTTATTAACATCACTAAAAGTTAGAGTACTGATTATGTTCTAGGCACCTTACATATCATAATTAATCCTCCCAATAACTTTAAGAGGTAAGCAATATTATGGGTATCATTTTACAGGTAAGAAAATGGAGCCCCAGAAAACATAATTTACTTGCCAGTAATTACACAGTATAAACTGGAAGCTATGATTTGAACACAGGCATGCTTACTCAAGAATTTGCCGTCTTAGCTACCACGTTTACTCTCTGGGGAGGTTTAGTCAGAAAACCACTGGACTCCTGGACTATAGGTGCAGATTAAGGAGGAGGTGACTAATGGGATGTGGTCTCTAAGAGATACAGAGGAGTCTGGAATGACTGCTCCCCACCCCCAAATTCTAGCTTGGGTAACTGGGTAGACATTGATTCTATGTAACATGATTTTAAGAACAGAAGAATCAGGTTTGTGAGAAAGATGAGTTCAGATTTTGACTAGCTGAATTTGAAGTTCCATGAAATATCCAAGTAGAAATATCCAGTTGGATATATGGGCCTGGAGCTCAGAAGAGACGTTTGGGCTAGAAATAATATGGAAATCATCAGCCAATCTATAGTAAATGAAGTCTGGCAGAAGATGACATTAGTGAGAGTGCTCATGTGAAGTTATAAGAAGCCACAGTGGAAACCTAGGTTACAACATTATGTTGAAGTTCCCATGTATGAGGACAGAAATATGGTGGGAAATTTCTGATCCAAGTGTTAAAATCTTCAACGAATGTGGAGTTACTACAAGGTTGGAAGGTGACAGGAACAGAAGTAATGAGCAGCCAGATGACATGCTCTTCTAAGGAGCTGTGGTTTATTTTTTTATTATTATTTTTATTTATTTATTTATTTATTTATTTATTTATTTATTTTTTTGAGACAGAGTCTTGCTCTGTCACCCAGGCT